AACCTACATAAAGTAGGTTTCTGTAAGCCCCCCCAAGACTCAAATTCAAGATGGGAAATACACAAACAGAGAGTTAGGGTTAGCATCTACCATGGTAGCTACAGTATGATAATAAATGCTAAAATGGTGTGTAACAATAACAAAAGTAGAGGAAAAAGTCATAAAGTCAGCACCATGACTTGGTAAACAAACATGTGCACCAGGGGTGTCCAATTATACTGCCCTGTTAGTAGAAATAAGTGAATCAAGAATTGTAGCTGTTGTAAAAACAACAGTATCTATCTATGGGTTGCTGAGGTTAGCTGACAATCAATATACTGTAAGCTAATGGTCACACTAGTCCAGAAATACTAGTGGCAACTCCCTAGTGGGGTAATGAATTCAGCAAGACAGTGTTTTAAAATGGAGTTCAACTTAGATTTTCAGTGAAGCAATGTGCCAATTCTCTGTCCCGTATGTTTTTGGGTACATAATACTGTCTATGCTATATATCTCTAGACATAGACATATCCCTAGATTTAAATCGAGGTGAAGAGGAGAGGACTTATTACATTTGCTGCGCATATGTGGCTATCAAGTGTGTTTAGGCCTGGCTGTTCATCCATTTTTATATCCCACTGTGGTCCCAGCTGACACTGAACTGCTGCACTAAAGCAAAACTACACTGAACTGATCACTGCCAATCTTCTTTGCTCTAAAAGGCAACAAGCAGCACTAACAGAACAGCCACATTTCATTTCAATCTGCCAGTATGTAGCAAGTGAAGACAGAATGATGAGAGCTGATGAGTGGGAAGTGAGTCAGTTTAGACCAGGAAAGATTAAAGTTTGGCTGCTTAGGACACTGACACCATTGGCAACATTCAGACGAATGAGTCTGTGAATGTAACTGTTTTGTGAGTGTTTTCTTCAAGCTCATCGCTGATTTAAAAAAAAATCTTTTTCACGCTGATTTACTTCTACCAACCTACAGTACTAACGCCAACACAAAAGTGAGTGAGAGTGAGAATGAGAGCGCCTCAGACAGTTTACTCTCACATATACATCGAGCACATACACACACAGACACACACACACACACATCTCTCAGGATTCAAAATGTGTGAACCTCCAGAGATGATTGTGTGACGTTGCCCACAAACATAGCTCATTTGTGTACGCATTTCTCTTTGTTTACTTTGTTACGCATTTTGAGAAGTTTGCAATAGTTGTTTGAGACAAAGATTATAAAAAATAAGACCTAATTTAGCCTCACAACTGTGTTTCAGATTATTTTTTGGTTTAGAGGATCAAATATGTGGTTCTCTCTTCTTCTCCTTCTTCCAACTAATATTAGTATTAAATATTTTGTCTTTTAACATGAAGCACAGCTTTGGCCCAGATAGCAATATGTACTGGGTAATTTATTGTAGCATTACATTTCCTTTAAGCATTGCATCTCATTTGTATCTCCTTTAAGCATAACTTAAAATACAAGTCAGGTGCCCGTGTAAACACTGAAACAGGTTTTGGTTTTATCATTTCTTCTGTTTATACCAGTTATTAACAATAAATTAAGTGAATAAGTTCCAAAGTTACAGCTTGGTATGTATTAATGTTCCTCTTTTTGTTACCATCCTTCCCTTGTTACCATCCTTGCTACACCTGTCTACAAAAATAGCCTTTAGTTTAACTAAAAATGTGGCAAAATGACTATGCTATATATAAGATGCTATAAGCTAAGATTAAATTAATGTCCATCACAGCAATAGTGCCATGAAAACGAGTAGATATATCCCAGGTTCAATCTTATTTGCTAGGGTGAAAGGAGTGAGATGTGAGAATGTGGAAACACATTTGTTCTTTGTAGTTTACCCGTATAGAAGAACACTATTCTCTCAATGTAGCTTTATTCATTCAACTCATTACTACACCTTTTATAATGTTTAAGATATATATA